AAAAGACCTCCATCAAGAGCAGTTATCACCTATATCTATCCTTCTAGAGAAACAATTGTCCATAAGGGTGGTCAAAACAGGTTCAGAGGTGTAATGGGGCAATTAAACAAATTCTGAACCAGGGGTTTCAACAAGTACTTCTGTCTTTAAGGTGACAATTCCCAGATTGAAGCAAGGTATCACTGCAGCCAACCGGCCTCCAGATGGATCCTATCAGACTATGATACTGGTTCTTTAGGGACTTGGTTCTGCAGCCCTACAAACTCGTAGAGGGGATATGCTCTTGGATCTGTGGTCTTTTGCCAACTGGTCTTCACAGATGCATCAATGCAGACTGTCCATAAAGGCTGTGCCATCAATGCAATGGGATGGCCATTGGGTGACCAAGCACACAGAGGTGAGAAAAGTTATCCTCACACTCACTCACGTTTTTTGCAAAGGCTGAGAAACTATGTTATAGTCAGCATTAACATCACAGTGACAGAGCATTGCCTTTACCTCATCTGGGGTTGTTGTTTGGAACACACAGGAACCCTATGCACCATTAGATCTGCATGCTCTTACTGTTGCAGTTTTCTACCACATGGTTAAGAGCTCACCACACAGATCCATATCTTGCTTTTTCCCAGCAAATCCTGCTCCTCTTGCAGCTTCAGCTGGAAGCTGGCAAGACTACTGTTACCTTGAAGGGTAGCATTGAGGTGGTGATGATGAATTGGAATGGCTATCCTTTAATAACAACATTTGTGCTCTCAGTAACATCTGCCAGAGGGAAAAGTGCCCTCTGATCTTTATCAAAGTGATTGCTGTGGGGTTCTGCTAAACGAACTAGATGTTGCTATCCTCCCTCCAAACCCAGCATTTCTGCCTGCCCCTCTAGTTTGTGGGCACTATTTGGCACTCATGAATGCCTTCGGACATTCAAGCACACCAACACTCCTTAAGCTATGCTGTGGCCACCTTGTGTCTCCTTGACAGGTATCCTCTGCCACTTCTGCAGCAATATAATTATCTAAGTCCACGTTTTTTCAATACTGCTGTCTGACTGTGGCAGCCAGCATCATCCTATGAGTGGTAAGTGCTCAGTGGGGTTCGTTCTTAGAGCACTGGGCCAGGCCTTTAGGGTTTGCTTTTACTAGGTGATACTTGAGTGATCCTTGTCTTACATGTAATGAACTGTCTTTAGTAGCTTATCTGTCTTTTAAGGCTTAGACTTTGCATGTTGTAGGGCCTTGTCTTGGTTCGAACGTAGATATTGTACTTTGTATTGTAGTTTATTTGTTGTATCAATTTTGTGGATACTCTCCTCATGGGTTGTCTTACTCCATACATGTGGTATATGTAATGAAGTGGAGAGAGAGTCTCCAAGTGTGATTACATTGTAACTCTGGTTCTCTAAGTCAAGAGATCATCTCTCCAATTTTTAAGCCTCTTGAGGACAGTTTTCATTGAAACTCTCGCTAACTACACACCCACACAGTCATTAGTAATACATGTGCCCAGGCAAACCGGTGTGGTTAAAAGCAATCTGAAACTCCAGTTTTACATATTGAATATATTATGGAGTGTAACGAGTGTCTCTTCACTCAGAGAACCAGGGTTACAATAAAAAGTCACGTGTTGGTCCCTAAACCTTTGCAAGTAGCAACTGATAATGTAAGAATTTAACAGTAACATTTCACATGGGACACAAATCGCAACCTCTTGGATTAAAGTCCTCTATTTGACCCATTCATTCACCACAACCTTTCATTTACATGGACACTATCTACTTTAATAGTACATAATCTGATCTCCTAAGCCTAGATGGATGCAAACAGGATTTGCAGCTTTTTCTTTATATTAGAATTGTTGTTTCATTTCACAAACATTTGCTCAACTGATTTTGTCTTCCTTGGCCTGAAATAAAATATTTGTTTTCCTTAGTATATCATAAAAACTTACAAAAGTAACAAATGGGGTGGGGCATAGTGAACAGTCGTTTATTAGATTATTTTTATCCCAGAGGAAATGTCTTGAATCTACAGAGAGAACAAAATAAAGAAATTGCTGATTTTGGTCATTCAAATTTAGGAGGATTGGATTGTCTTTTACTCCACTGTAGCATGACATAGAAAACTGATTGATGTCAAGTCATAGAAATACTGCCTGAAGAAATGATTTAGCTCTAATCAGCTTGAAAATATGCCCAGTCCTGAGACCACAAAGTTATACGCAGAAGATTTCAATTGTGCACACAGTTCATTGACGTCTAGGGTAGTCGTACGACTGGTTTTAAACAAGTTATGTATTTTTATATCTGCCAGTTGACAAATTAAGTTCTATATCACTCACTGTAATGTGTACTCTGACAGTATTGTGCTGTAACCAAGAGTGTTTGTTGTTTTAAGAGGCAAAGAAAAACTTCACTGACGTCAGAAAAATTGGAATCTTCTTTGCGTCGTAGTCTGCGCATAGGCAAGTCTTCACTGAGCGGCGCTGGTGCTATCCATCCCTCCCTCCATTATCTCCTGATCATCATCCTCCTCTTCAGGTGGGGGTCAGTGACGATCATAGGCTGAAGCTGTTGCAGTGGCAGCAGGACCTGCCCCCCTTGATGTTGCGCTATAGTAGTATGGTGACCCTGTGGAGGCAACATAAAGTGTCAGAAAACACTTTTATGGCATGCTTTTTTTGTATAGATGTTGAGTGTTGCCGTTGACACAACATATTTGTTTGGTTTTGGACAAGCATTTTGGGCTATCTGAGAGCCATTAGAGATCTCCCCAAGTTTATACATCATATAAAATAACATTTTCTAAAAGAATGGATACCTATTTTAATGTATGTTGATTTGTACTGCCAGTGAAAAAGGCCCAATAATATTTCTTACTGAAAACTACAGCATATTGGCACCAGGCTTTTGTGTGTTTTTGTGCATTTGTGTTTAAAACTATGACCCTCGTTGGCTAGAAATAACGGTAGAAACTTTGGACTTTTTGGGGGGGACTTTGCGTTGGGGATTTCTGTTGGAATTCTCTGTGTTTTTGAACATGTAAATTTTCTTTGAATTCAGAGTTCAATTTGCGTTTACCTAACCCGTGTTTAGTTTCCTGTGTTTTATTTTGAAGTCTGTCTTGGATTCCTGTTTCCACCACCTTCATTCATGTTCCTCAGTTTCCTCCAGCTTTCCACATCAGTTCAATTCTTTGCACCTCTGCTTCTTTTCTCACCTCCTCTACATTCCATTAGTCACTCTCCCTACATGAACCTCTCTGTTCTTTTCATGCCTTGTCAGATCCTTGCTGTATACTGCAGATGCCTCAATCATGTTTCTGTTTTTTGCATCTTGTCCTCCTTGTATATCCACCTGAATTTTCCTCCTGGTTCCCGTCAGTTCATGTACCACACTCAGGTTGTGTATCCTCCCAGTACTATGTATCATGACAGGAATCGCGTCTACGATGTATGTCATTTCATAGTAATGGTGCACAATGCATCTTATTCAAATATTTAACTCTGTGCATTTTGTTTTTATGGACACTAACATGTATAATGTGGTGACAACTTACTTCACAGACTTCAAACTGAAACTGACTACATAATCCCACTTAACCCAAAAATACATAGGAATGAATAACAATCACTTTGTTCTGTCCACTCTCAGCTACCTGTCGTATCAGTAGATATAGACTGCTAATTCGTCCCACATTTCAAGTGTGGGCACCAACTGTTGTATATGTATGTGTTTGCTGCTTGAGGTTGGGCAACAGTTGTACTGAGGTTTATTTAAAGGTTTTGCTTTACTCAGCTTTGTTTTTCTTTCTTTCTTTTAAGGGTATTTTTATTTGAAGTGGTTATAATAGTTAGAATTTCAGAAGAAATCAGACTGAAATAAAAACACCTGATCCGTACATTATATTTAAATTATATCAAGCATCTTTAAACTGCTATTCGAGGGAAGAGCACAAACAAGAGTACCACTGGAATATATGAACTAATCCCCAGTTGAGGAAATGTACTGTCTCCTTCAAATACATTCAGCTAATATTAAAATTAACCTAAAACTAAAATGACAGTCTTCCTCTCGTTTTTTTCTCTGCGCCAACTACCACTGCAATGTCATCGTCCCCACCGATCTCAGCAATTAACTTGGAGAGAGTTATTTCTATTACAGATAAGAATCATGGTTAAAATGGGGAGAGAAAAAACTGCGTCTCAAGTTCTAAAAAATCTGAGTTCTCTGTTAAAACACAGTGTAAATGCGAAATGAGCTGCTTCAATTTTCTGTTTCGATTACATTTTTACTGTGAATGTCCGTAGTGAAAGGCAAGGATAAGATGACATGAGCTGATAAAGCTAATGGCAGAAAAAAATAACCTTTTTTCATGTATAACCAATAGAAATGGATCATTCTATTCTCTCACACACAGAAGCATACACACACTCACAGACACCACCTAAGTGACTGTCTAAGTTGACACACTGAGTACAGCTCTACCACCACTGATCCCTTGAGTCTATTCTCTCCCCAGGGAGGAGGTCAATTCAATACAGTAACCCTGAAGACAGAGAAACCCACACTCACACACTCTAGAAAAAAAAAACATTCACTTACACACCTGTCTCTGTCACTTCCATCAATCAGACTAGCTGTGTGCTGACAGGTTATGTCTGTCCACAGTCCAGGTAATCTCTGGAGCCTCTTTGGGGAAGTGAGGCATTACGCCAACCTGACAAACTCTTTAGTCTCACTCAAGGCTTAAGATGCCCTCTCTCCCCTTTTCCTTTTTTTAAACTTCCCTTTTTTACTTTTTTCTTATTCTCCCGTATCCGTGCCTGCTTTCTCCTCTTACGCACCATTAGTCTTAAAGCTTTCAGTTTCTCCTAATGTGTATCTTGTATCCACATTATGTATCCACTCCTCTTCAAACTAAAGCTCCCTGTCCTCCTCTTCATTCTTTCCTCATCCTCTGTCTGCCCCGTGTTCAAGATTCTAACATTTGTCTCTCTTTCCATCTCTACCCACCTTGCATCTGTCCTGCCTGGCTGGTGAAGAGACTGGACGAGCAGCCGATCTCTGTGCCCAGGAGAGGACCATAATCCTGTTGAAACACTGGGGAGAGAAGGATGGAAGAAAAGAGGGAAAATGAGAGGTGAGGATAGGAGTGGGAGGGGGTATGGAATAGGTCATCAAAGCCTGACCTATTACAACTTTGACCTTTAATGCCATCACCCCCCAACCAGATTATTTTGAAGATTTATGTTAATATCACCCCTTAAAATCCTCATGCAGTGATGTCTATGCATTAGCACTAATTGGGATAAGGACTGCTTCAGTTGAACAAATAAAAGTTTTCTTACAAATCCTTTACAATTCTCGTGGTTGATAATGTGAACTGAATGAAAGACACATCTGTATATGATTAAAGACAATATGGCAAATGGCAAAATGCGCATTTACACATTAAAATGACAGCCCTTAAAAAGTAGTCCGTCCACAGAACTGTTTGTGTTTGTGTGTGTGTGTGCGTGTGTGTATGTGTGTGTGTGATGCACTCAGCTGCTTGGTATGATACAGAATTGAAAAGTAATGCACCTGGCAATTGAAGCAGTATGAAATGAAATTCTCTCACGCAGTGATGCCTCGATCCAATTCTGGTGACCAGAGGGGGCAACAACAATATAGGGGGCACTAACCTAATAGGCTCGGGTTTGGAAATCTCCATGACTCATTGTATGTAGAATACTGCGGATGGGAATATGGACTTCCAGAAAAATCTCCACCTGTAACAAAGCACAGAACACAGGCTGCTTAGGAACAACTTGGTACCAGGGTGAATGGGGAATTGGACATTGTTTACAGCTCCCATAGGCATAGCTACATTCTGCTTACTTCTTCTTCTAAGTGCTGTGTGTGTGTTGTGAAGATTGTGCTGCCAGTCACTGTACAACGGTAAACATTCATGCAGGATTAATTTAACTACTTTACTTAAAAAATAGATACAGGATTTCAAACACATATGCATTCAGACTTCAGACTGATTAGGCTTCAGTCTGTAAAAACCACAGAGTAAGTCAGAAATCTGGTTATACTGATTTCAAGTTATGAAGTCAGCCTGTAACCCGAATAATATTAAAAGAGCTAATGTCTTGGAGTAAGTTACTCCCAAACAATATGCCAAAACTGACATTATAGGTAATTCAGAACAAGTCTGCTTTCTGTATAAAATTTTAGAGTTAATCACAGAGAGGCTGCTTGAGACTGCTGAATTTTGTAGAACACTTTTGCCTTGTTTTCAGCACAATGGAGACTAGTTGTTAGCGACTGAACTGGAGAGCTCAACGAGACTATAGCAGTCTCGCCATACAGTGGATGATAGTGTAGCTTTTCTCCCTCATTTACTACCCACTGTCTGGGATCTACTCTTCCCCCCTTGTCTTCTCTTCTGTCTTCACCCTTTTCTCTTTATTTTCCCCATCGTCCTCTGGCCTGCCTGACTACAGCCAGCCCATCACCCTTCACATCAAAACAACATTCTTCTCCATTTCTTCTCTCTCTTTCTTTCTTCTGCATTTCTCTGCTGACGTGCTCTCCTTTTTCACTCTTTTGCTCTTTCTTTTCTTTTCTCCTGAACCATCCCTCCTCCCTGGGGATCCCTCTCCCAAAGCTGACAGTCACAGACCCTGATGCCCCCTCCTTCCAGCCCACCCTCCTCCACCCATTCCTCCTCTCTGCCTCTCGTTCTGTCGGTTCTGCCTCAGTGCTCTCCTACACCCCCTCTGAGTGTCAGCCCCCCTGCTGCACAGAGAAAGACAGAGAGACAGAGAGGAAAGGAGAAGAGAGTTGCTTGTTTAATGAAGGTATGATATGAGACAGAGCGAACAAAAAGGAGGATAATTTGCCTGAGAAGTGCTGAGATAAAACATACTGGAGAGGCAAAGTTAGGAGATAATCTCCCTCAATAATTCCAGTCAGCTCATGGATTCAGATGGCTTGGAAATTCACCGAGAAGAAATTGAAACGGAGTTGTTTTTGTGTGTTTGTATACAAGTTTTCTTTATGCGAGCACTTCTGTGGGTTTGTGTTTGGCTGCGTCTGTCAGGTGGGGTCGGGATGTGGTTTCCATGGCACCCCTGGGTGCGAACATCCTCTCCCTTGTCATCACCGTAGTGACGGCAACGTGTCAGGTTGTTTAAGAGACGAGAGGCGGAGGGGAGAGAGGAGGAGAAAGAAGGCTCAGAGGTCTCCCGTGTGTAGCTCAATGTCAAGGTCGCACACACACTGTCAAAAACAAACACACGCACACAAACAATCGCATCGGCCAGACTAAACACACACTCAAATATACTGTCAAACCTGAGGACAGGACGGGGTGAGTGCAGGGGGACAGGGCGACAGGGTTACCCATCTTCAGACGCGTTGTTCCAACATGTCTGCTGAGATTTGTGTGTCTGATTGTGTGTGTTTGTTAGAGCATCAAACCAAATTGCTGAGAATCCCAGAGGCAGCAACTTGTAAACAACTCTGTTTTTTTTGTGTTTTTTTTTTTTTACTTTGTTCCACTGTACCATTTGTGTTCATCCCTTTATGCTTGAGCAGCATACCTCACGCTGACCATGACCACTGCTGCGGGTGTGAGCTAAAGAGGAGTCAGAACAAGAATAGTGTTCCAGGATTGAAACACAAAAGCGCTGTGGAAGGCGGCGTGGAAGGGAATGAATGAATTAGTCGTGGGTCACTGGTGATTCTCATTAAAAACAAATTACTAATGTTGAGGAGGGACAGCTGTGCTGCTGTGGCTGGTTTCTAATGATACACAGGGAGACACACACACTCACGCTCAACAATGGCTCACAAACACACATGCCACCCTCAGGGACTACTGTCAGCCACAGTATAGACAGACAAGACAGAAAAAGTAGCAGTAAAGTACTCTCTCTGAGGACCCACACATGCATACACACACACAAAAGATCTACATTCGATAAGATCTCAACTGTTATACAAATAAAGGTAAGTTGGTTTGATAAGGCATCAATAGATTAGGTACTTAAAGAAAGGAAGCATAAAGCAGCATTGATCCTGTCAGAATCATCAGTATTGACAGAAGTGTATTTATCATTTTGATACCATAACTCTTCTTCTGATTTAACAGCGAGGCTGTGAGAGAAAGACTATCCTAACTTTGGCAGTGAAAGAAAAATCTTTAGCCTACACAATTTGTGTTTGGCTTGGAGTTTCCTGTTGCCTCTCTTGAGGTTTCTGCCTCTTGATACATTTTTCTGTCTCTACCCTCGGTCTGCACCCTCAGCCATTCCAGTCAGCCATGTTCCGTCAGCCTGCTTCAGCTATTACGTTCCTCCACCTTGAAAGAAGATTTTTCTCCAAACCGTTCTTACTTGAGATTAACTCTTTGATTACTTGCTCTGACATTTGTTTTTTCCCCCCGGCAATTGAAATAGGTTGAGGTTTATTCATTGTTTGGTTGTGTGCATTTTTACTCACCCGGGACCATGCCAGTAAGGGAAGGGGTGGAGTAGCTGCCCTGTCCAGTAGGCGGGACATGAGGAGGGTAGCCTGGCAGAGTTGTGCTAGATAGGTCTCGACCTATAAAAACAAATAAGTTTACTGTCATCAACATCTTTCTACTATCTGTTTAATCATCACTACCAACATAACCACAAATATAAAGTAGCAGTACCATCAAAATGATCACTCATAATTCTGCAGTTCAGGGTGTTTTTTTCATTAAGTGGTAATATTAGTTTGAACAATGGAGAGCTGAAAAACTAAAGAAACTGAATGTAACTTTCACAGAAGAGAGGGTGATCAGGAAATACTGATATTTTCAATTGGATAACCTTTAAAAGACAAGATTATGTGGTCTACCCCCAAAAACAGAATGAAAATTAGACCAACTTGGATGATATGTGTGGCTGTAATATGCAACCTACAATGGAAAATGGCAGCCGTTTAACTTCGACTCATTTTGGTTTGGTTGTCCCACCACCGATAAGGAGATCCTTATAATTGTGGGGGTCATAAAAGCTTGTTTAATTAATTAATTATTATAAATGGAGAAAAGAGAGATAATTGCTGTTAGATTTGTTTAACGCTGTGCTTGTTTAGTTGTTGTGCTGAAGTAACTGTTTTCTTAAAGGATGTTTTCACCATATGTTTCTTTATTTACGTGGACTTCAAGGCCCTTGTGTAACTGTCCGTCATGGGACGCAGAAAGAGCAGCGAATCCCAGGTGCAGCAAATAACTGTAATCTCTCTGCTGGATTCCAAAAATGTTTAAACACTGACGTAGACTTTGCTGTTGTACACTTAGACGTACACATATACTTTTTGTAACTTTCCATCCCCAACAGCAGTTTTATACTGTAAAAGACTCAAGCTAGTGTATTTGAGAATCAAAAGACTACAAACGCTCCAAAAATGCAATACTTTCATGTGGCTAATTCAAAGTGTGTCTGCTTCTTTTTTTTTTTTCTTTTCATGTGTTCCATCCACTGGCATCTATTAATTTACACACTCCCCATTCTCTTGTTACCCTCACCCCCCTTTCTTTCTCTGTCAGTTGGTGGATTGAATATTTAACTGCATTAGACTACATGACAGCGTGCCACCCCAAATCATTTCTTTATGTTTGCACGCAGTAGGCATTGGATGTGTGTGAGCAGGTTGCCCTCCATTCATCTTCATCATGTAAACACACGCAGCCACACACACGCATCAGCAGCCTCCTCCTGCTGCCCACACACACACATTTATCATCATCATAAACAGCTTAGATTCTAACACCATCAATCCCAATCACTTCCCCTCCACTTAACAGCCCCTAACTAACTGAGAGGGAGGAAGGGAGGAAGAGGGGTGGAAAGGGAAGACAAATAAGAGAAAGATGAGCCATAAGTACTTCAAGAGCAAGATCTGTTGTCTAGGAGGTATTCCTTGTTCAGGTTCCATTGCTCCATCAGAAGTAAATCCTCAGTAATTGTTTTAAGTGAAGTATCATTTGTGCTTTTTTGTATTGTCAGTGATAAAGTATGAGATACCATTGACCTTTTTATAAAAGGCTCATGATTTACCGAATATCAATAATCTTTGTCATGTTAACTGCTTGTTTTGTGTCACAAAAAAAACATTTAAAATTCCTGCTTTCCGGCAATATTTTCATGGTAACATCTTTACGCGGCAAACTGTTTTAAGCTTAATGTTAATGTCAGTGTTAAAACTACGATTTCAGTAGAGATCAGGTCTGCAGTTTTCAGAACTGTAGTTCATCATGTTTGTAAGTAAGCACTGAGCCCACAGACTGGCTCGTTGTAATAACTCATGGTTGAAAGTGAAACAGCTATGTTAGTCTTCGGCATAAATGTAATGTGTATCCAAAAGTGATGCAGCTCAAGTTTCAGTTCATCAGCGCTACAGGGGATAGCATATAGTTTGTCTGTAGTCATGGTAATCTTCTGCATCCCTTCCACTTCCAGACAAGCAGAAAAGCTCAGAGGAATGTTGACTCATAACTGTTTACGTCTACAAATCTAATTCATGATCAAACGATCAAATGATCAAACTGTCCTGATCAACTGCATTATGTGGGACCCCATTCATATAACATACTGTCCAGCATCAATTTCCCAGTAGCCACTCTGACAGTTTGACTCAAAAGGACACAAGAAAAAAAACATGTTAAAAGAATGGGTACTCATGCAATTAAATTATGGACCGATAATAGTTGAAAGTTAGAGGGGGAAAAACGAAAACATGGTTAAAAAACTGTGGGTCTATCAAGACCTCTGATTTTTTTTTAAAACATAATTTTACAGTCCTCCCAACCTTATATTCACCTGTTCACTTCCTTGCACGCTTTTCTCTCTCTATGCTCGAGCCTCCCTCTGTCCCTCTCTGCCTACTCTCTCCTGTCTCATGTAGTAAAGTTTTTCTCAGTGTTTGACGCGACAGCGAGGCATTAGTGCAGACGGGCTACTCATCCGCTCAGGGTCAGTGCACAGGGCATGGAAGGGAGGGAGTAGAGAGTGGAAAAGAGCAGAGATGGACTCTCTACAGCCAACTTAGAGGGGGCAGACAGGGCCAGCTCCTCAGAGATGTGTGTCTGTGTGCTTGTGTGTGCATGTGCACGCAGCGCTTTTGTGCATATGTATGCCAGTTGTATTGATGTATCTGTTCTCCACAGCTTTGCTTTAGAGGTCAACAAACAAGTACAAGTCTCCTCCACGCTTACTTGCAGCTACAGATGAACAGACATCCTCTGTCTTTCTTTCTGTCTTACTGTCTGCCTATCTAACTCCTCCTCATCAAACAGCCATCAGAGCAACACATGTCAAACGCAGAGGAGCCCAGGGAGCGCACTGTGTCCCTTCGACTGTTTGAGCGGGGGCAAGTTCAGGCTAAAGGAAAATACCCGACAGATTTGGATAAAAAAAAAAAGGACTCAGTGTTTAAGTTGTTATGTTGCTCCAAAGCATGTGTCTGAGGTATCAACACCTCAAAGATGCAATGGCACTGCGTCAAACTCACCGTCATCTCATCCCCTAGAGGGAGCTCTATTCAGAGAAAAAGAAATCCATGCATATTATTTAGAAGGTGTGTGTGTGAATATGAATGTGTGTATTTGCATGCATAAGCAGAAATGGAAATTTCTCTCCCTATCTCTCTCTTTCTATTTCTTATATGATGTGCTTGTGTCTCTTTCTCCTCTCAAGTATGCACAGGTAATATTCCTCAGTGGTTTCAGGGGGAAGAAAAGAGCCCATTCCCAAGTATCCCAAATTCCCAGATCAATGATTCCCCTTATTACAGATGGGAGTGTTGAAGCCTTGTCCAAGTGCTCCCTGGTCTACTTTTAATTAACCACTGCCTTTCCCAGTGCCCCTGAGTGGATAAAGGGGGATAAATGAGACTCTTACTTGTCCACCATCCTCACTGCTCTCTTTCCCCCCCCTTTCCTCTCCTCTGAGATCCAACACACTCTTTTCTTTAAGGACTTTAACCGCCATGTGGTTTGAGACATTTGTCAAATTTGTAAAAATGTCTCATGTTTTGATTTGCTGTGCAGATCAAAACTCGCTGGGCCCTAACCTTCATCATGGGAACAAGGTGTGAGTAAAGATAAAGTTAATCGTGGAAAAAACATCTTTACTTTCTGTGACTTCATCATAGTCATAAAAAAGGATTACTTTACGGTATCTGTTAACATCCGGCCACTCATTCCCTCCTGATTGATCATTCATTAAATGAAAGAGATCAAGAAGATACAATTTTTGCTTAACAAATTGTCATTGCAGTGGGTTTTTAATTGGCAAGATGGCTTCGACCTGAAAATTTAAAAAAGCATGAATTTAAATAAAAAAGAAGGCATTTGTGTTGTTGGTAAAAGGAAAGAAGAAAAACACATGCACCAATCAGGAAAAAGATTTCACCACTTCAGCTAAAACAGGTTTAATGAACAACAAGTTTCCAAATGTAATCCACTGCAAAAGTGCAGCTAACAGCTGGAAATGTTTTGTTTGTTTTTTTACCTGGAACCAGAGAATAAGACTGTGGACCGGACACGCTTGCTCCTAACTCCGCCCCTGTGCCTGGATTGGCCAAATTGTTCTTCATTTCATCCAGTCCGCCTGCTAGTGAAGCCATGGCCGAGTAGTCTGATGTCTGGAAAGGAGCAAACAGCGGAAAAAAGAACAGATTTAATAAACAACAAATCCAAATCATGACGCTCCATGCTGGAAATAACATAACAGCCACAGTGGTGCCCTGGGCTGCTTACAGCTGTGATCAATCTGTTTGTTGTATCCTGCTACATTTTACAGCTTCCTCACAGAGAAGGGCAAAGGAGCTTTTCTATGAGCACACACACACACTGAGTTAGAGAAACACACCTACAGCTGAGAGTTTATTGATCTGTTTACAAAGACAGGGATTTACTGTACAACCAAGTCCAACAGTCTATAACCAGAGGATCAGCTTTCGCTTTCTCTTCATCCCTCTCATCCTCACACACAGGATGCGCAGAGTACATACACACACAAACATATACATTTACACACACACACAGTGGCATTACATAGACCATGGCCAACACAAAGCCCCTTGTCACCCTAGATACCAACAACAATAAGAACAGTGATCATCTGAACGCACATACACTCAGACCCCACAATGTGCTTAACACACATACACAAACACACATTATAGAGGGTGTTATTTAGTTGTACAGGTTTTCTTCTGACTGCAAACTCTCAAGTGCTCTGTATTGATGTTAAAGGAAATCCAATATAAATACAGACTGCTGTTTTTCCAAGGAGCTATGCATTTCTTATGAACAGTAATGTGGAGAATGTTTCATGGAAAATAATGTAGAGGCCAATCTGAATTGGAGAGACTAATTGTTTTTCTGCAATTCGTCATAAAGAACAGACCTGCAAAAACATAACGTTACCTCAATGCACAAAACACAAAATCATCAGTTGCCCACAATGTAAAATGGAGTGTGACTGATGAATCCGTTTTGTCAGAAAAACGGGGCTGCTAAAACATTACAGACTGACCAGAACGCTACTGTGTGGATGCTTAATGACAACTGTCTGCTCACCAGTGTTTGACCCCAACTCTGAGCCATGACCCATAGATCCTCATCTCTCTGCCAAATCTGTGTTTGGGAGCGAGAAATTATGAGTGAGTGTGTGTGAGTGTAAGTGGAGATTTATAGTGATGGTGTTGGCATTGATGACCTAGTATATATGGATTAACCAGCAAGGACCAGAAACCTGTCTGCGAACCCCATAGGAGTTCTTGTATTGTTGCCACTTCGTTTGGACCTTTTATAGTTAAAAAAAAAAGGTGAGCGTTAGAGTTGAATATATTTAGTTGTAGGTTACTTGATATTTTCATAGTTAGGAGAAAGAACTCCAGTAATGCTCAAGAGGACTGAAATGCACAGCATCCACTGCAGCTATAGCACCAAACATTCTGTGCTCTAGATGGGTTTGGCTCAACTAAGTGGAGAGGAAATCTCCATCCTCTTCTTTTTTTTCGTAAATGACACCACTGTCCTTTTTCCATTCTGTGCAGCGAGCGTACCTTTGTGTGCGGGGCTTGGTGGGGGAGTTGGGGCGTTACACTAATGGCGCCAATCAGAATTTCCTTTAGGTGATGAGGTGAGAGTTTTGCACTGACCCTTTTAATGCGTCTGCTTCTGTGTGTGTGTGAAGTTCTAAGTGTAGGCGTTTGTTTGTGCTCACTGACCTCTTAAACACCCCTCTGCTCGTCAACACACAATACAACCACTGGACTGTGACCTGCCAAATAAGAGCTTACCCTGTACACTACACACACATCTCTCTTTTGCCTCCACTTTAGACTTCCGACAGATTTTAAGGTCTTTTTGTCACACTTAACCCATCAAACTGGCAGTTTCTTTTTTTTTCCTCACACAATCAAACATGCCCCCCGCCCCCTCTTTTGGCCACACTCTGTCTTATTATCATGGCATCTAATGTGTTCATGTATCCATGTGTAGATGAGGTCCAGGCATCAGTAGCAGGAGAGAAGAAGGGGTCTGCCGTGGTAATTGGCCATGATGAAGTTTGGCCAGTGGGGTGACAGGCCCGCTAAGGAAGATGGATCATTCTCATTCGCACCCGTAAATGTTGTCAATTCCACCGCTCATACAGCGCCATCAGCCCTCATCAAAGAGGAGGAACACAGCTGCCAAGCTGGGGAGGCGTTGGACTTGGGGGTTGGGAATATTGGTGGGGGTGAGTTGTACTACAGGGGAGGATGGAGGATTACAAGAAAAAGTGGCAGGGGCGATAGTCAATGAGTATATTTGGACCACTTTATAAGACTTATCTGAGAAGCCTACTGCAGTCCAACAAAAAGTTCCTTATTGTGTAAGAGCCAGGAATTAAGCACTTATGGAGCTGTAGAAATTTAGGCTTTGGGGATATTTTTGAAAAGTTGGATAGTTTTGTTTATGATTCAGGTTAAGATCAAGTTAAAGCTATGAGATGCTGCGCTGCTTTAAAACATGTCTGTTTTAGTATTTTTCTGATGGACTATTTCTATGCATTCTAGAAACAAGCACGATCATTTATTTTCATTCATTTCACTTTTGCCTGTAGAGATGGAATCATATTTCATTCAAGTCTAGCATGTTTAGATTGGACTGTACACCCAGCTGTCAGTGTACACAGTTGCCATTTCAACTTCTGGAAAGAATGGTTACATATGATGTACAAGTTTACATTTGGGATTTTTTTTTTGGCTGAATTGAATGAAATGTCGTAACATAGAACTTGGAAAGTTATATTTTCTGCTGAGGCTTGCACTGAAAACATAGCATACATATGTCCTGTGTTAAAGTACATATAAGCTTCTCCTTATATGATTATTACAGCCTGTCATCACCATGGTACATACCTACCTACCTATTTACCAGAAAAACAGTTTTTGGTTACAGTTAAATTCTCTAATAGCTGTTCCACTGTTTCAAATGTTACTCGGCTTCACACCCTCTCACTTCCACACAGCATGATGGCTGACTCAGATATGGTAAGGTAATGGTTAAGTCCAAATCTCACATCAATAACAGATGAGACCTAATCGTCCCTCTGAAATGCATGCAAACGCACACACACACACAGACCAACCCTGCTGGCTTGCATCATTTGCATAATAGTATTTCCCCTTTTCTCCATTCTCCAAATAGCCCCCCATTTCTCAATCTCGCTCTCCCTCTTGCCACATTGTTTTGTGTACGCCTGATCGGCAAAAGGCTTGACGAAAACCAACACAATTCCCTCGGTGGGCCACAAACAGAGACGAGGATTGTCGGGGAAAGAATTTATCCGCACTCAAAGTAAGCGTGGCAGTAGTGGGGACAATGTTTATTTTCAGACAGAAAACTGCAGCAACTCTGGGGAAAGGCAGTGAAGGGTTTAAATATAGCTAAAAGCTCTTGAGCCATTGGTTCAAATTTCTCAGCGGAAAATCATACGAAGAGTTTGTGCTTTGTAAAAAATAGCAGGAGACAGAATTCTAGTTTTTAAAAAAATTGATTTTTGCTGCTTTTCTGTCTTCCAATCAATTTCACGTTGAAATAAAAAGCAACCCCAAAAACACCCCACACATAAGTGCCAGTCAAACACTCTACAATGAGCCTAAAGCAATGTCCCAGCTAGAGAAAACACACCTCTGTTTCAACTCGAGTGTAGAATCTGTGGCGATCCTGAGGGTTTCCCACAGGATTTTCCACTTTTCTCTGCAGTCAGAACGCTGACGTAAGAATGATTTAACTTCTGTTTTTAGATTGCATCTCGTTTGGATTTGCTAAGTAATGAAAGTGATAGTAATTACTTCTATTTTGTGCATGAAAACACTGTATCCATATGTTCACCAACTGAGGGTGGGCAGACAATGTGTGTGAGTGATTTATTGAAACACAAACCGACAGTCATGCTAATTAACAATTTATCACTTCAGCTATCACAATTTTTTTAACATTTCTAAGCTGGCCTTGTTGACGCCGAGATCTGCTCTGATAAAATTGATGTGACTTTTGGAGCCAAATATCAGAGTTCGCGGAAGGTTGCTGTTGCTTTGAATTCAGACTTCAGACTGCTGAGCACCAAGGAGGCGTTTAAGATAGTTTTTCATTTAACATCTGCAGTTATTATTAATTTTCACTACCATTAAACAATATCCTCCTCTAACTTCTCTCTTTTTTTCTCATAAAGTTTTAGCAGGATGAACAATTTAAGTTGAGGGGGAAAAAAAGAAGAATGGCATCACTCCGAATATTGTTCTTTTTTTTATGTCCCAGTGTAGCCAGTCTGGTTTTGCTGGGATGTGCGCTTGGACCCTGCGCAGCGCCGTAAGGTGGGAGCGCCATCAGCCCTCTTGATTTATCAGCTGGGTAATAGGAAGTGATTGAAGGGAAATTCAAATGAACTCCCTCTGACGGGCACACTTGCGGACACACATACAAGCATGCGCACATAAATTAATAGCAGAGCTTAATAGACTATAGGAAGGAGAGGAATAAGAGCAGGGGAGGGAGATGAGATAAAAAGATGGCTTGTTAAAGGAAAAATATAAAGAAAGGTCTCTGAAAAACAGGACAGAAGATTAACTATTGCTGACAGTTTACAAAAAAAAGTACTTGCAAGTCATTTGACTTATGCATGTTCATGTTTATACATGAACATGCAAAAGGAGAAGTAAGGCTTTTACTGGGAAGAAAGCTAAAAAAAATGTAGAGGAGCTCAACTTACAGTTTGTTGTAATACATGTTGGCAATTACACACGCGTCTCTTCTCTGCTTGTGTGCTCTCGCTACCCATTTCTTTCTATCTTTAATAAACCCTCCTACCTCCCACTTTGTCAAAGTCACTCCAACATAACATCACCACCAGGGCCAAGTCTATCAGGCATCTTTAGGACTGTCAGTCATTACGTGGCAAGCCCCACTTTGACAATAACCCTGGCAGCAGGGTTATACACACACCTTAGCCCACATACCGTCTGATCTGTAGCTGTCAGCATGTCAGTATGGAGGGTTTGCCTGTCAGTCATTCCCTCTGGGGAAACTGGACGAGGTGGGGGTCGGCGAAGGTGAAAGCACAGATAGTGACTTAGATTTGTGTGCATCTCTTTTGTAATGCAATCCGTAAAGCCAGTTTGACCCCGGAGCGACCTAGATTTGAAAGACCCCTATCCCAGACCTCGACCTCATTGGCTCGGCTGGGCTCAGAAAGGACGCTGACCTGTGAATCATGGGTATTATAGTCTTGAGTTTTAGTCTATAGAGCTACTATAAGAACTCCCTATCGACCTCTCGCCCTGTGCCACTAAACTTGTCATGTTGGTCAAAAGGGAGTAAATGGGTTAAAAAGGCAAACTCTGCCCTGTACGGGTCTAAGGTTGCAACCTAGTTCTGCTTCTAAACACTACTACTATTCTGAAGTGCGTCTGTCCTCTTGTCCTTGACACTGACTGAATAAATAAACCAGAGGCATGGGCTTTTGAAAAAAGACAGAATAAAACAATGGGAGAAAAGTGTCATTTTGAGACACTGGCCAAATATTTCCCTAATATGGAGTGGAAGGCTGAAGATTGCAAAACATCTGAGAAAAGGTAGACAGAATACAAATGATAGCATGCTCTCATTTTGTTATTCAGAGTACTACTTACACCTGTCTATTCCACTCAGATTTACATTAATTTAATGCCGGCACAGGGCGGGAGGTCAATTTACATGCAACATTAAGAAGCTCTTTCTCACTCTTGTATTTCTCATCTTTGTCTTTCACACGCGCACACATATGCAGCTCATTCAATGTGCATCAACATGTAGACAGCTTTGCTGCCGTCCCCCTAGCAGCAGGAAGTGAGGTCATAATAAGAGCCAAGAGTCATTAACCCCGGAGGTGCATCTAGATTATAGGAATATCAATAGACCAGCTCCACTGGGTCTCTTTCAGACCACAGGAATTCACAGTGGTGTGTCAAGTTAACGAACGAAGCAAAACTCGATGTGTACATTTCAAAGCAATATGCAAACAATATGGAAGAAAATGAAAAGAAATACACAGCATAAATGCAATGTTGCAATTTCTTGCGCATTATAGCAAATATGTCCTTAAGGTGACATGGTATGGCAAGGCATAGCAGACAGGCTTTAGGCTAAAAGCAAAGATTTAAAAAAATGTCACTTATGTTAGCTTGCAAATGCTGCTTTTTGGAAATGTGGTTGTAAGTCAGCGTCAGCTGTTTCAAAAGAATTTTAAACATACTGATCTTACTCATACATGCTTTTCTTTAAACTAATAATATTTCTGCTCTCTTTTTCAATTGGCAGCCTGGGCTGGCTTTTATTCGTTACAGGATATGACTGTAGTTGTAGTGAGTTGTACTATAGTTTTGGTTGTTGTCAAAAAAAGAGGCTGTACTGTATATTACTTATTCACCATGCTAAATAACACATTTTGGAGGAAGGCCTTTGGCGTAGATTTCTTCCTGTGTTGATTACTTATCAGAGCATGACATATTTGTGTCTGAAATGAGAGACCATATTACCCCATGCAAATGTGGGATTGAGTCATTTTTAATGTCGTGTCTGATGTGGGGTTGTGTGAAGAACTAATGAGCTCTTGCAAGAAAAAAAAGAGATAATGTCAAGCGTACTGATGTTGATTTTGCTCCCGTGCCTCTATACTTAGAGAGGACAGTGGTGAAATTAAATAGCTAAAATGAACTGTAGCTCAACCCATCTGCACACATAACTGTGCTGACTTCATACTGTGGCCACTGTCCACAAAAGGTACAACCCTAATAACCCCACAAGCCTAATTATTTTGTATGCCAGTCTTAGCCACGCATGCAAAAACACAAGAGGGAGCCTTGTTTCTTGCATCACATAGCATTTGCTCTAAATATACTTAGCAAGGCCAAGATCAGTTTCATTTCAAGCATATTGTAATGAGGGCTGCAAATCTACAACTACAGGTATCTTGAAAAGTTTGTTTCTATTTCTGTTTGAGTAAGAATTTGTGACAGTAGAAATAGTTTACTGGGCCATTGTCAGAGATGCTAAAGACATTATAGAGAACTGACATAGTTTAACATTTTTATTTTTTTATTTTAGTGACAAAAACTAACAAATGCCGCTGGTCTTTTTCTTTAGTGAGAAAGCATAGCTTTGTAAATTGTTTGGTCCAGCCAAGAAAAGAAAACAAACAAGAAACTATTCCCCTATTTTTCATGGTTAGTTAAAGAGTCAGCAACAATTATGTCTAACTACTCACAGTCAAGCAGAGGTAATTGTTAAATGAGCCGCAAGCATGTTTGTAAATTATGAGAAATAAAAACTAGTTCAATGAAAAGTATTAATACATGATCAGTTAAAATGCATTAAATGTTTCCTTAAAAATCAGTATTTTCCAGCTGGTTATCAGCGCTGGTACAAACTTTAAAATGGGCCCATATTTGTTTTTTATTTATTTTCTCTCTGCATCAGACCTGTACCTAAAGAGTGCATATTATGCTCATTTTAGCCCCTGATTTTTCCCAAACTTGACCTCAGCCAGGAGCCTGCAGAATGCCTCACCCTTACCTTGCCAGAGTCAGGGCTCATATAGAGCTCAGTGCTGGATTGGATTGGACAGGGAGGCTGTCTGTCAAAGAGGCGGTCCAGTACCTCGATCTGCTGTGGCGAAAACAGCTCCCCTCTCATCTGCTTCCTGAGGAAGTCTCGCCCACTGTGGCCATGCCCATTTGCCAGAGGTGATTCCAGCAAAGCTGCAGAGATGGGACATGAAAAAAGAGTGAAATTAGAAGGTTTGCAACAGGAGAATATATATAACAGCAACAGAGAACCTTTATTTATTTATCTTTTGCTCATTGGCTCCCCCTACAGTTGTGGGCTGTAACATCACTGACCATGTGAACCCTGAACATGCATAGCCATACGCATGGATTTGTTTTATTGTTGATTAGGACACAATAACTTTATCAAGAGTCCAAAAAAGGTCAAGCAAAATAAGGACAGAGCGCTAAGGTGCAACCTCTTGGGTACAAAAGTCAAGGTATTTCAAAAAGACAAGAAAATAATTGGACTTTTCCCAAAACTTCTCTTATGCTTCTTGAATCAAGGGATGAAGATGCGAGAAGACAGAAAGCAGAGAGATAATGAATATGTTGAGTCTGCTTTTTTATGCTGGATAGAAAATCAAACAAATGATAAAAGAGAAAGAAAGGAAAGAGTGGTGGCAAGGATTGACATTTTAAAATCTCTAAGGTGGATATGGAAAAATAAGTTGGTATTCTTGGGCAAAATCCATCTAATTTAGGATTCAGGGACTTCATAGATTTGGAGATTCAGAGAAAATGGCATACAAATCCATTACCAAACATAACAGTCTGTCTTTCTCGATCTCTCAAAAGTATACTCCCTCCTCTCATATAAACACAATTCCACTGCCCGCTTCTCATATCAACTATACACACTAATACACAAAAAATATATATTGCTTCGGTATCAGTATTAGACTGTGAGCTCTCGTATCCTGCAGTTATTGCGAGGTTGAGGGACTGAACGAAAAAATTATAAGAACTCTGAAGTGTTGCGGCTCAAATTATTAGAAAATAGAGAATGAGAGAAAAAGATAAAGAGAAAAAAGGATGAGTGGGAAAATCCCCTGCTATAGAGCCAATTCATTGCTCCAAACTGCTCCTGAGAGACTATTTCAGTCCTAGGGGTCACTGTGTGTTAGGAGAGTGTTAACGTATGTTCTCTCTATCTGTCTATCTATCTATCTGTCTATCTATCTGTCTATCCATCTAAATTTAGTTCAATTATATAATTTAATGGGTGATAATTATCAGCCTTTACAGTATCAGCAATAAGATCAAAACTGAAGTATGAAGAACAGATTTTTTGGTACCCTTTTAATTATGATCCAATTTACTGAGAAATCTTTTAAAAATCATAGAAATATCATTTTTGCATTGGGTAAAACTGGATTCAAAAACAAAAATCAACCTCTGAATTGCTTTAACTACAAAATACAGTAAATAGACTTGTTGGTAAATATTTAATCTATGGGTGACCCGTTAATTTAGTAATAGATTACATTTTACCTCAAAAGCACAAGTTTAGCTATCTGGTAATCGCCTGGGTAGCCCTTTCAAGTTTGAACAAAATGAATAAATGAACGAAAGAGTCCATATGATAAATGGTGCATTACAGGACAGCTGTTTTTCCCCCAGTTTGATACCTGTGAAACAAATTCTAAAACTCATATTAATTTATATGAAACACACTTTTTTTCCAGAGGCTTGCGATAAACCTCCAATCTTAAGATGGCATCTATAGCTCACACTTGCAGTGTTCTCTGCAACTCACAAAATCTTGCTATACATTTTCAGTACACAAAGCCTCTTTCACCTGCTCTCTCACAAACACACTCCACAATCATAATCTCTCTTTCACTTCTGAAGTCACATACACACTCATATACAGATACTGGGAGCAGTGCGAGTATATGGTCCAGGTCTCCTGTGACAGACCAATCAGTGGGGAGATAAAGGCAGTGTGATGCTTTAGCCTGGTAACCCACAGCAACCCATTTAATCCCACTGGCCAGTCCCCATGATGGAATTCAATTGATCAATCATGTAGCTCTGATGGCACCATTTCAGCCAGCTTATTGCTTTCTGCTTTCATTCTGTTGCACTCACACCAATACACACATGTACATGCACACATACAAACACACACTTTGAAAGACTGACCATGGCAAAGTACCCGCAAACAACTTGAGAAAGACAACGAAAGCGACTACAGAATCTGCTGTAGGCTGCAGTCAAAACAAAACTTTCATTTATTATAAACAATATTGTCCATTTGTGTGTATTTGAGTGTGTATAGGTGTGTATGCCTGTGTCTGGGTGTGGACGTGGGTGTTGGTGGGTGGGTAGCTTGATATCCGGCTGGTCTCATTGTATCCATGGATGGGTAAAGAAACTCATTGCCGTGACGGGTTAAATCCTATTCACTGTCGGATACACTCGTGCACGCGCGTGCACCGGCATACACGCTCACAGCTGCCTCTATCTCTGTGATTCAGTCTCAGAAGGGAAGCGTTTCTCTTCCCTCTTTTTCAAAGCAGAACAAAACAAACAATGAGCCGTCATTGTTCCCATCTTTCTGCTTTTTTCCTCTCTCTTCCGCCTTCTATTTCACTCCCTCCACCATCATCATCTCAAACTGCTGTGACCTTTTTTTTTTTTTTACTATCCAGAAATATATAGAATTATCGTCTGATGGAAATCATGAGAATATCACCTGTTAAGCATACAAGTGTATGTAAGAAAGTGGCAGAAAGTGCAACTACCATACCAACAATGTTCATTTTGTAGCACATGACAGTGGCTATCACTGTGATAGGTGCAGTAAAAGGTCCGACCTAGCCCATGGTTAAATGTGAGAGTGTTTCTCATTGTCTGTATGGTTCAGTGTGTGTGTGTGTGTGTGTGTGTGTGTGTGTGTGTGTGTGTGTGTGCGTGTGTGCATGCGTGCTTGTGTGTGTTTGTGTGTGTGCGCGTGTCTAAACTCAAAGGATCAAAGTTTTGGGATGTATTCTGCTTTGGTCCCGGTGATGAGCAGGGATCCCCCGCCCTGCTCTCCTTCTTCGTCTATTTCCTGGTCTTTCCCTGCCTCTTTTATTTGGTAAGCTGATGCATGTCACAGTGGATGCACAGGAGGGCGAGAGGTCAGCTTTGCATTCTGGGTAAACCACTGTATACTGCATGGATTTCCCACAGACATGCTGAAAGCTAAGTGCTGTTTGACACAGGTTGGAAAGTAAGAAATTCCCTTCAGTTATTGACCTACCTGTCTATATGGAGTCCATACCCATGTTGGAGGTATGCACGCCTACTCACACACACACACTAACACACACTCATGCACACACACATTTACACACAGAGACACAAATGCAAGAACACAAGCAGCGCCAGAGTATGAGAGAATAGGTTAAGGTACAATAGTACCCTTTTGGCCCCACAAGTCAAGTTCTTCCATTCACTCCCATTCATCTCCATTCTGGCCCCAGTCAACCCTTACTTCCCCTTGCTTTGGCTGGGGGCACAGGTCACCTCAGGGCTTTACCCTCACACACTCCTCCCCTTAACACACACAAGCTGCTAAGCCCGCCTTCCTGTGTTCCCACCCTTGCACAGCTGCCATTATATGCTTATGAGTTTTGGAAGTTTCCAGTTCATTTTTCAATACCAGGCCATGATCTGTTTTCCCCGATTTATTTAAAAAAATTAAATAAAGACACTTTTACTCACACATGAAAAGCATCAGATCCCAAAAGGTAGACAATGAACTTCACCATGTACACATTAAGAAAAATCCACTGAATAGACAAAGACGGACACACTAACAACAAAAAGACCAATGTAATCGTGGGGCTCTACGTGTAGTGTGAGTGTGTCCGTGTGTAAAAATGTCAGCACCAACAAACATATGGGTGTGCGTGTATATGTAAAGCTGGCTTTATTGTTTGCCGGTGTATGTGTTTGTCTGTCCGTGTCAATGCATGCTGTTCCTGCTGTCACCCCTTGCTGTGTGTGTGTGTCATTATCCGGTGGGGGCTGCTCTAATGGAAGCTGTGATTAGCTATGCTGTTAATTAGACCACAGAGCCAACCGCGCAGACCTCTGCCACAGAAACGCTGCAGATAAAACACACAAGCTAAACGTGACACTAAGCAACATAATGCCCATATTACGCTTTCTGAGTGCCTCAGTGAAACGTGAAGTGATACAATGTTTTGATTTGTACTATGAAACGCAGGGCCGAGCTGTAGAAACAGCAGACTAATCGCACACAAAACACACGATGGAGTGCAGAAAGAACAAAGTTGAACAATAATGCTGCTAATTAGATTACAGATCATTTCCCTCCGCCACAACTCCGACTAAAGAACATTTGCTGGAATCATTAGAGCTCCTATTATCTGAATCCGCATGAGTTTACCCAACTCAACTCTGTTCTTACACTTCCTTTCTATAGCATCCTTTGAACATAAAGTAGTACCCGGTTGCTTATTATCAAATTGATCATGAGCAAATGCGAGATCCTCTGTTAAAGCAGACAATTTGGTCAATTTGCTGCTCTTCGAGCTAACACAATGCCAAGGAGCAAAGACATCAGCAGTGATCTTATAGAAACATGAGCTTGTTGCTGCCTATAGATGAAGTAAATTTCATAGGCCAAATTTCACAAGAGGGAGAGGAAAATTTCTTCACACATAGTACAAGAACATTGAGGATCGTTTTCTCTGATATAAGGTCTAAGTCACCTTTTTCAGCTGGTTTGGAGAGGTTACAAGAGAGAACACCCTCTTTTTCTGTTAAGAATATGGCGGCTGTCTAATGTGTACATATTATGCAGTGCTGCACCACATTTGGTGAAAGCCAAACAGAGCTTGTGACGCAGACATACCGTACAAACTCATAAGTGCAGAGGTGGACTTGAGAGCACCTTTCTGACATTTAGCAAACCGTTAAATTCCACAGTACACCAAAGAATCTTCCAGTCAGTATGGATTTCATCACAGTGTATAACAGCTAAAACCAAAGTTTTTCTGTTCAAGAAGAGCTCAATTTATTTATTTTTTTGTTTTTTTTATCTGAGATTTCATTTTCCTAATTTTATCCTGTAATGTCAAACCTTAGAGTGTGTATATACAGCTGGAACAATAAGCACTTGACAACATCAGCAACATTTTTCTCAGGAAATATAATTCTAAGGCAGGCTGTTGGCCTGATCTGTCCAACAAATGCCAGATATAAACCAGGTAATACCTCATTACCTTATTAGTCTGTGTGTGCTGAACATTGTGAACAATATCTCAAATCCTGCATAACATGCAGCATGTATTTCGGGCCAACCATGCTACAACTCTACATCGCCTTATATTTATTGTCAACACAAACTCAGATGTGGATTGCTTTGCTTGCTGACTCCCAGTAAATCAAGAATTGTCCCATTTATTAACATTCCTTTGCTCTGACATCTACTCCCATCAGTTCATCCACATTGCAAAAGGATAGCGAGAATAAGGAAATACCGAGATTATTAAAAGTTGAATTTATCATGCCGAAAATAACTTTGTGACAATTCATGTCATTGTTCATGAGTTAGTGGGTTAAATCTTATGACTCTTTCAGAAACATTTCTGTGGCTAATTTACAAATTAGTGCAAAAGGTAAAAATATGGGTGAAAGCGGCCTCTAAATTCTAAAAATAAAATACATTTTGTAATGAGTGAAAGAAAGGTTAAATAGCAATATGTCTAGAAATGTATACATATCTGTGTCTATGTCGGTGTTGAGTTTCAAGCCTTTGTATTCCACTGATTTATAAATGGTCTGTGTCAAAGCCTATCACAGTTCATCTGGGATTCACCTGGGGCATGCTGGAAGTATTTGAAAATTCACCAGCATTGAAGAAAATATCCCATACAGTGTGTGTGTGTGTGTGTGTGTGTGTGTGTGTGTGTCAGAAACAGGCCAAGCAAGAGAGAAAGAGAGAAAGAGAGAGAGAAGTAGCCCCTGGTGGCACTCTGTCACCCCCCCCTCGCTCCAACATCTGGTCCTGTCTCATTTACTGCAGGAGACTGTCTGTGTGATGGCTTTTTAATGCCACTGACACCGCCACGTACACACACATAATCCTGCTCACATGTACACCTACCCACATGCAAAAGTACAAAGTACATATGAGAGCAAGACTTCGTTCGCACAAATGCTCACACCTCTATCAGCATGCACAATTGATCCGGCATCACAGCATGTGTGATCAATAGTGCATGCATAAACCAGCGTCTCAGGAAGCCCCTCAGTGAAGCCCAGTTGGTAAACCAATGTGGGTTTCTCAATGAAGATGTTTGGTTTGGAGCCCTGACATAATAAATTTACACACACACTTGCATTCACGTGTCATTGATTGTCTCTCGTCGAGTTCTTTCTGAATTTGTACAGAGAGGAGCAGGTTCTAAACCTGTCCTTCATTGGACAAAATTCTTCTATGTGACGCACTGTGTGTTCGTTATGTCTTCATTTACTCCTGGAAAAAACAAACAAACTAGAACTTCCACCAAATATACCACTGATTAAACAGTGAGGGGCATACACACGAGGCTTTCGCTCACCATCATCCCTCTTCCTTTTGCCCACGTCAACGGCCGAGCTGATACCCAGGATGCCACTGATAGAGTACGAGGAGCCGGCCGAGTCACTGGTCACCGCTGACACCTGCGTGGCGGCCACAGATGTTGCTGCAGACAGATCAAGAGACATTGTCAAGGGTGCCATGAGAAATCAGAGGATGCATTAACAGCGGGGTTTCATCATCTCACTGAGACTACATGTAGATGCATACACATGGACTGACAGGAGTAACAGGAGGTTCTATAAATGGTGATAACTCTGTACTGTTCTTAAACTCATCTTCGCTGATTTGGATTATATAAAAAAAGTTTATCAGAGCAAATGTTGAATTGAAAACACTGATCAGATAAATGAATAACAACTGTTGGACAGAGGATAAGAACAGTGCATTACATCGTATGTTGTTGGATGTGGAAATGTCTAAATATCTCATTTGTGCCAGCAAAATAAACCCAGCCAAACCCCAAACACTAATCATCTTTCATGCTTCATTCTTCGTCAGACTGTACATAAGGAGACGGCATTGGGGTTTTGCTCCTTGTTGTCTGCTACTTTAGTCTTCCCCCTGGAGGAGGCAAGTTTCTCGCTGGGTGACACGGCGACATACTTGTCAACGCTTCACTGACACATGCACACACACACAAACAAACACAGCACACACTCTGCAACCTCCTGACACATACAGTCACGTATTCTCTGGTCCCTTATCTGTGCCCCTGTAAGCGGACGTCGGGCTGAGTGACAGTAAGGTATCCCAAGAGGGACAGAAAGGTGTGGAAACAGACATCCTAATCCTCTCTCCCAGCAGACCGCCCAAACACAAAAAGACAAGACCGAAAAGGGAATAAGAAAAAGAAGACAAACCAGAGGATCAAAGTCCCCTTCAGAACGTTACTCACTCACTAACAGAAAGCAGAGTATAATGAATGCATATCCCCTTCTTTTCCAATCACTTGATTTAGCACTTCAATTATCTGATTTTCCTTTCTCTTTCTTTTCACTCACTTTTTTATCAGAACGTTAACGCTCTTATTCTGCAAATCCAAATGTTCAATTTTCCGCCTGGGAGTGGGTCCCATTTATCTGTGTAATCTGGAAGTGTGTGTGTGTGTGTGTGTGTGTGTGTGTGTGTGTGTGTGTGTGTG